TGTTAGCATATCAGCACAAGGCACCAAACTGCAACAACCATCCACCTTCCCTCACCAAAAATATACAGCTCCAAAACATACACTGGTTGGTACTAAAAGAAAGGAAGTAGGCACTTCACATCATCATGGGACGTGGTAGGGCAGTGTTATCCCTCCCAAAGAAGCTGCCTGTGCCAATACAGAACAAAAGGATTTTGTGCAACTGCTGAACCTCAGAGCCCTAGTCACAGACCAGGACTGTGCTGTGCTCAGTGCTGTACTAATGAAACAAAGGCAGTCCTGAAAGAGACAGCCAGCTCCTCCTAATGTCTGACTGTTTGCCACATCCAGGGGAATACAAAAAACAAGTTGCAGTTGCTGTTTTTTTAATGGTGGTAGGACTCAGGCTATACATGCCGGCAAGCAGCGCAGCATAGTTGCTTCAAGATGGAAGAGTTTGCTGAGACAGTTTCAACAGACAGTGCTGTCCACACAAGGGAAATTTGGCCAACTCATTAGGCTACACTGGATAACTACCCCCTTCCAGGAAATCCACATCTCTCTCGTTGAAAACAAAACAAGTTTACTCCCAAGTCTCTTCCTCGCAGTATGACTGTGGCTCAAGGATAGGACTATTAAGTCACCTTAAGACCCATCAACAAGCATAGTAGAGACCATCCATTAATTGAGGGATTGCCAGCAACCTGTAGCTTACTGTCCACAGGGATTCATGGCAAGATGGTCAATGGACAACCAAGCCACTGTCCCTCAGGACAGAAAGATGGAGAACATTTCTCTGTGTTGGAGCCAACTTGACAGACATCTACAGAAGTTGTCCTGACATGGGAAAGTGCCAGGCCCACATTCCTTCAAGCCTTCTCTAGCACTACAACTCTACCTCCCCCCCCCAACTGGTCAAACATGAGGCCTGTCAAGCAACAAGTTCATTGAAGCTTGCTGTAGCTTAGATCACTGAATAATTTCCAAATGCGGAAAATGGAGGCAGCCTCAGAGCCCATTCCTCCTGTGCTGGGGGAAGTTGATTTGTTAGGCAATAACTACCCACCCCAAGCAACTCACTAGGACTAAAAACAGACAGTACCCATAGGCTGACCCTGGGCTTTGATTTGCATCAAGACAGGCCCAGAGATGTTTATATATGCAGCGTGAAAAATAATTAACTCCAATTAGCCCCAAGTGGGGAGAGGGAGCGTTAGCTGGGTACTTCACAGATGCTTAGAGTCCGACAGTGGGCTTGTACATCTGTAGAATTCCAGAATAAAAGGCTTTGTCTCAGGAAATCTGAAGCCTGTTTTTAGCCTAGTGTTCAAAGCTCTTCTTGATGCAGGAGAGACAGCAGGCCCCACATTCCACCTCCTGTTAAAGGGGGATCATGCAAAATGCGCTCTCGTGGTGCTGGATGGCAGCACACATACAAAAGCAGCAGAAATGGCCAACAGCGATTGCCCTCAATTTCATCAGAAGCTCCAGATGACACTTCCTGCTACCACAACTGTCAGCTCAAAGTGAGACTTCCAGTTCCCACAGGAAGAAGAGCTATTTACAATTTCTCCCTTAATCAGCTCCTAATGGACTAGGCTAGGGAAAATTCAGAGAGAAAGCAGTGTCCCTGCACCAGGACAATGTAAAAACCTCAAGTACACAAAGCTAGAGATAAAACACTGCTGACTTTTAGACTGACACTTTGTTCCCTGAACTGAAGCTGAACTATTTCCATGCTCATAACAGAAGGGAGGAGCATATCCTCCTGGATTCAAGGGAAATTTGCGCAACTGGTTTTCATGTTATTTTTGTATGTCACCATTTCTTAGCAATACATGCTCTGGCCAAAAGTTATATACTCCAGGCATCACAGGTAGGAAAACAAAAAAAAAAAAAAAGGCAGCGGAGGCAGCACTGAAGAACCATGCAAAAAGCAGTGAGATTCAGGGGAAAGATATGGAAACAAGCATCAAATACGTAAACATGGGTAAAAGCTTGTTGCAGAGAGACAACTTAAAAACTACATCAGTGAAGAGCTCAAATTGTAAAGCAAACGTACTTAGCTTCCTCCACCACTTCCACCTCAGCCTGTGCTGTGATTGGAGCATTGGAATGTGCCCCTGTTGGGTCATCAACATTCAGTTCCCCATTGGTCGAGCTGACCACCTGAAACACAAAAATAATAGAAGCCACTATTAATTACATCCACTGCTAGGTCATGCTTATGTGCGCAGTAGGTCTTTACCAGTCTGGGCAACAGGTACTGTAAGAAAAGCACATGAAATCCATAATGTATACCCCTTTCCCTCCCTGCCCCTTTGTACTCTCCCAGCACCTCTGCAGAATTAAATGAGGTATCCCCCACAAGGCAACATGCAACTGAGTGCACTGATTCACAGAAGTCAGAGACTGCTAAGGTCTAATCCACTATGCATGCCACAGCAGGGTCATTCCCTTCAATATTCCCCAGGGCTTGGTCCACACCTTTGTGTCAGATTGAAGATTCTACTGCTACTTTTTGGATGCTGTTCCACTGTCTGTCTGAAATTAAGAGGAAAACATAGTTTGAATGCAAGATTTATTTTGACCCACTGCTTATTTACATCCTTGTAACACCTGTTCACTACAGTTTTGCTAAGCCACTTCTCCATGGCATCTTCATACCAGTCTTTCTGTAGAAGTCTTCTAGGTCTGAACCTGCTAACTCCCCATCATCTGAAGGGCTCACCCTTACAGGCCAAGTGTTTTGATGATATGTGCCAATGACATATCACAAAGACAAAAATGGGCTCTTCAGCATTTGCACACCAAACTGATAAGCACCTCACACCACCTTTAAATAGAGACAGACTGATTGTCCACGCGTCAAATCCCTCAGCCTTATCCAAGACCACTGATGGCATACCAGAACTCATTTCACCTTACATCAGTCATTCCCCCCCAATCCCAGAGAAATGAACTCTTCAGTTTGCTTCTTGTGAAAAAATAACTACCTGAACTCTGATCTCTTTTTGCCTCAACACAACTTAACCTACAGGGTGCCTGGACATTCCCTCCATCCCCCTACTACTGATCCTAAACCACTTGAGTCCTTATTTAAAAGTCAAAGGCATCACAGCCAGTAGGGCAGATGAGATTGAGTGTCTCACAGCAACCATATTGCTAAGGTGCAACTGCAGCAGTAACAAATGAACAAGTCCACAGAAGACCAGAATTTAGCTATTCAATTTGGCTCTCCATACTTTGTTCAAAAAGTCCAAAGGACTCTTGATCATATTCAGTCCCAAATTCTAACCCACAGTTAGGCAAGGAACTTCTCATTGCATTGACATCCCAACTTACAACCCTGCAAGAACGAAGAGGATCATCCATCGGTCTCACTTTGCAAACGCTGTCTTGGGAAAAGAGAGCTTGGGGTCAAAACTGTGATAACTAAGTCTGTGAAGCATTGGCATATATGAATTTCATTAGGACCCAGTGTCAACCAGGTACTCTGGTGGGTTAGAAAGACCCAATTGCCATAGAAAAGGAGTGGGAAGAAAGCTAGAAACATAACAGGTCTTTTAGAAAGGGCTCCACTATTTTACCAGCAGCGACAACTTTTAGGTCTGTTAAATCCTGCAAGCTGTGCGCTCTATGTGCTTCTGAAGTTTCAAGGTGGAGGCAGTTCCCATCCTGTGGCCAAAACCTGCTAAAGTTTTGCTTCACCTCAGTGTCATCCTGGTGCTGCCTTTGGAGCTCCCCTTTCAGGAGTGGATTCCCGACATTGGCACACCCTTCTCTAGTACTACCTCTTCTGCCAGTGTGAAGCAAGGTGAGCCCTTCTACTCCCAGTAGGCCTGGCAAAGAATAGTGGTTAACTGGACCACTCGCAGTTCCAGTTCTCCAGGTAGTCTCACTTCCACAGCTACTTCTCATCCAACTTAACTTCACAAGAAGCCCTTCCTTTTTTTCTTTTCACTTAATGCTGGTGTACTCTGCCATACATGACAGAGTCAGTGGTTTTCACCTCCTAGATACTGGTGTTTAAAAACTGCCTTCTTAGGGTTGAGGATTTTTTTTGAGTACCCATGATACATCAATGAAAACAGCAGAGAAACTCCTATTTCCAGTAGCAGGTAAATAGAAGTTTAAGATTTGCCTTACAGGAAGATCTCTGCACAGATGTGGAAGCTTCACTAACCTTTTTACAGGAAAGGAAACCAAAACCAACAAATGTTCCAGTGTGTTTTGTGTAAGTGTGCCCACAAAGTGAGTTATACAGGATGGATTTTAGTGGCACAACCACCAGTATAATTAGCTGTCTGGATAGGCCCAAAGACTGGGTTTAGATTAGGAGCACTTTCCTGGCATAACTATACCAGCATACTACCCTGACTGAGGACTTTGCATCAGTACAGTAAAATAAAAACTTCCTTTGAGCAGAACAGTTCTTTACACTGAGGGCTTCTGCCAAAGTCATGCTTCACACTGGGATCATTTTTTATGCATCTGCCCAACACAGTTAACATAAGTCTGCTGCAGAGATGGCTATGTCAAAGAAGAAAACTGCTACATATTCCTAATACACTAATTTATCCTCATTCCAGGTTTCAACTTCTGAACCACATAGAGAATTCTCAAAGTGGGAGAAAAACAAAAAAGGGAAAAAGCTGACCCACAAAAACCAGATCCCTTAAATCTAGCCAAATATTAACAAAACATTAGACCTCAGCAATAACCAGCATTACAGCTATGAATAATCTTTCCAACACAGAAGATCTAAAAGACATTTGGAAGTGCCTTGACTATAGAGGCCTCCTCCTGTATGCCTGCCATGTAGTGAAAAAAATTCTCTCATGGCCAGAATGGGCAAGAACTACACAGCGGGACATGGTGGCATGCATATCACCTGTACAGGAGAACCCATAAGATAATGATTCATTTTAGACATACTCCTCTTTTGGTAGCATTTTGTGCTTACCATTAAAGATTCCAGTGTGCTAAAAAACAACAAACGATTTCACTAAATATTTTTTCCCCCCAACAGTGATCCACCCTTTCTGCCACTTCAAATGCTGAGGAGCAGCAAATATAAATAAGATATCCTAGAGAAGGATATGAACAATTCCACGTAGCCAGGAGTGACCAAGAGGTGTAGTTGGCTTTTGCCAGGCATCAGCTTTTGTACTAGTACACCAGCCCTGTATGAAAACAGTAACACAGCACTTCCGCAAAACTTTTACTTCATTAGAGTGAATCAAAATCAAGACAGTTTGTTGCATAATGCTCCTGAAGTACTTAAGAAGCAGTTGAAGCCTGGTTCAATTTTTGTTTCATTCTCTTTAATTCTGGCCCAAACCTTGGGCCAAGTCAACTTGCATTCACTCCAACAACCAGTTGGCATGGCCATGCTGCAGCATGAGTCACAAGCTACAGCCAAGTTAGGTACATGGCTGTCACAACACTAAAAATGAAATAGGGGACCTGGCTCTCCTCACACTAACAGCACATTCACCTTTTCCATGGAACAAATTGACTGCTGTATGAAATGCATTTTCATTCATTTTCCTGACTGCTAGCATAAAAGAAAAACAACACGATGTCAGTAGCAGCCGACAACGGGGTCACCAGCACTCCACAGTGCCATTTTGTGGTAGCAACACAACATGCTGCTTCTCAAGCTGTTTGTAAAATAACTTGTGAGAACAGGACAGCCAACCCAGCAATGTCCTCGGATTCTCCCACATACGATGTACTCAGACATCCACCTGCACACAGCCTGGATATAAAGGCTGAACTAGAACAACACTATTGCTTTCCTAGAATTTTTGTTTGTGTGCAACAACCCACGTAGGGCCACATCAATGGTCCAAAACTCCTCCAGCTTCTTGATTACACCACCCTGTAGTGCTTTATAGTCCATACACAATGCCATCCAGTACCCCGTCCCCCTGCTTACAAGTACAAATAGAAACAGCATTCTTTCCTATGCTTAACTAAAATAATAATTTCTTTGGTCATTTTCATTTGTTCCAAGAAAGCGTACCTATGCAATTTTAAAAAACACAAAACCAAAAAATAAAAGGAAAACCTTGCTGGGATTGTAGCAGTGAAGTGCAGTGACCATTCAGAACAAGTTCTTGGCTTTGCAAGACTGTTTTTTAAGCATGAAGTGAGGGCAGGGCAGGGCAGGGCCAGTCTGGTTTTGCAACAAGCCCCAAACCCAAAACCGCTTCAAGGTGCAGCCAATGCTCCTGATCACAGAAGCACCACAGCAGAGATTCAATGAGACTGGACATTAATTTGAAGCAGGTTCCGATGGCAAAGCTGTGCAGGTCGGGAAAAGACCGTACCTGAACGGATCCTCCATGCCGATCCGCAGCCAAGTGAGATGTCAGGTACGAGGTATTTGTCTGCCGGCTTGGCTGAATCTCCCACTCTCCTCGGCGATCTGATGATGCAGTCTGCCCAGGCATTCGGGATCATGAGAGCAAGAGATGGAAGGAAAGGTAAAGATGAGCCCAGGCAAAGCAACGGATATGTATTAGTGGGGTTAGTTTATTGGGGAGAAAAAAGCAAAGCATTTAAAGAACGTTTAGTTTGGTTATAAGTCCCTTCCATCACGTGCTAAATCATTGATTTAAATGCCAAGAGCGGTAAATGCTGGAATAAATTCATTCTTCCTCAATCCGGTGAATGGAGAAGCAGAACTCAGTGAAATCCTGAAAGTTACTTCATTGCAAGGTTTCTCTAACCTTTTTTTTTTTATTAACACAGGAATTGTACACCAATGACAAAGCCTGACACAACATGGACATGAAGATCTCTCACCACAGTGGGGACAGACAAGTTGTGTCTCACTCTACATTGTATCTTCAGCAGAGGACCAAGTCCTGACTATTATAGAGCAGAGCCATTTTCCCCACAAATACAGAAGCAACAGAAACTCCACCGACTTTGTCCAAAGAAGTGCAAGGTTCTCTTTTCTTCCCCCCCCAAGAATGACATATGTCAGAGCACCAGCTTTCTAGCACACTTTCTTCCAAATGCAGGCACGAGTGCTAATCAGAGACTATAAACAGCTGCTGTCAGCTCCCACTACTTAAGCAGGAAGATCTCTTAGCCCAGGAGTTCCCAATTTGTGGTACGTGTACCACCAGTGGTACGCTAAGAGATGTATTATAATTACTTTATATGACAAAAATTTGCTGGTGGTACTTAAGGCTGCATTATTTTAAATTGGTGGGGCGCAGTCTGTCAGAGTTTGGGAACCACTGCCTTAGCCTACATCAGAAGTCAGTTCCGCCACTAGAACACGTGATACCAGGAGCCTGCTCCATCACAGCACATCCTCTGTGCCCTGAAGCACAAAGGCCAATTCTTCTGTGGAATTAGAGCAATGTTAAAAGTAAAAAAGGAACGCTATTAGCACATGCTCCACCAACAAAAACTTGGTTAGTTTTTCTCAATGTGCCTTAGTTTTATTCATCTAACTCAGGGGCAGGCAATTATTTTGGGCAAAGGGCTGCTTACTGAGTTTTGGACAGCCATCAAGGGCTGCATGACGGGCAGCCAGGGGCAGATAAATATTAATTTTCTAAATTTTTTAGGGGCCACATAGAATGCCCTGGCAGGCCACATCCATCCTGCATTTTGCCCATCCCTGATCTAACTGCAGAAGCTAGTGTAAGTGAACAGTAGAGTCCATGAACAGTAGCCTTTGGGAAGATGCAAGCTACATCTAAAGAGTTAAAAAAAATAAAATTATTTTTTTTTAAACCATGGGTCACGTTATTTCCATCCCAAGTGCACACAGGTCTTGGACCCAAATTAGCCCGTACAAATTAACAATGACATACCTCTGTTTGGCACACACCTAGCAATAACTGCTTTGCCAGGAAGCTGAATTCAGGTACAAGAACAACGGAGCTGAAATTTCCTATATTAGACTAAGTCCGACTAGCTCAAATGACTGTCACAGCTCAGTAGTACACTTAATGACATTCACTCAGAGAAACATAGAAGCATCTCAAGTCATCAGAACAGTCTCTGACAGAAGTTCTTCTAATGCAAGACACTAATAGCATTCCTTTTGTGGGTGTCACATCAGCTTTATGGCTATTAGGAACATAGATGCAAGACTCATTCTAGCTAATCAAAGTTACTTCCATCCTTTGTTTCTTAAAAGGGAAATATGAACAAGACTCCAGGATTGTTGTACTTTTGTGGGTTCTGTCATAATAGAAGCTAATCAACTAAGCATAATTGAAGCTGCAAGATTGTTTGCCTTGGATTGGATGCAGACACTGGGACACTTCTGCTTTGATCTGAGAAGTTGATAAAATGGATGCAAATAAGGATTGCAGACTTGAAGCTGCAGTCAATAAGTCTCTGCACTCCTCAGTTGCATCCATATTATCCAGCTCTCAAATCAAGGCAGAAAAGTGTCTCAATGTCAGTTTAAACCCTGGAAGTTTTCAGATTTCCAGTACATGAGTAATTATGCCTAACTTCAGAAAAGTAAAATGAAGAAAAATGCTGAGCACCGTATGAACCAAGAACAACTGCGAACTCTAAAGCAGCAGAGGACTCATTGTCCTCCTTGAAAACGAAAGAATATCCCTTACAGTTTCAAAAGTTAGCTATAGCCAGAAGAAAACTTATGAAAGCCAGTCATGAAGTATGAAGCAATTTACAATCCATAGCACGGAGAAGTCCCTTTTGAAGCACAAGGACATACAAATTCCTACACTGTTGAGAGCTAGAGATGAATTGTTACACTATTTTGGCTTTAGGTAACGTAGTTGTGATAAACCTGCTCCACCATTCTCTAGCAGATGAAGGCATAGGTGGACCCAGGATTTTGAGAAGTGAGGTGCAGAAGCAGCAGCTGGTGCCGGCTGGCACCCCTCTGCTGTCAAGATAGACACCACACTGCAGGGGCAGTAGACAAGGACTTTATTTTTTCTTCTTTTTCCAAGCCCCCAAATAATACAAAAAATTCCCCCTGCTTCCCTTCTGTGCTTAATAGCACCTCCCCTCCCCTCTCCTTCCTTGCCCTTTCTACTTAAGTTTCTCAGCGCAGGAAGGGCAGACCTGCCCCTGCCGCCTCTGTGCTGGCCACACCTCCCCACTCCAGCTGGGGTGGTGGAGAGCAGCTCTGCAGGGAGTAGGGCATGACTGGGAAGAGTGGTGGGTTCCCCCTTCCTGTACCTTCCAGGTTGGCAGGGAACCCTCTAACCACTGCTGCTGTCTCCAGTTGAGCCCAGCTCCCCTCACATGGTCAGCAGCCCCAAATGGAGTGGCTCTGAGGCTACTCCATCCCTGGGTCAGCTGGGGACTGGCAGCATTGCCCCCCTTCCTGTGCCTAGAGGTGTAAGTGTGTGTGTGGGGGGGGAGGTGACTGCCAAACACGGGGGAAGGAAGAGGGTGCAGGGATTATTACTCGTTTCAGGGACCTAAGAAAAAAGGTCCATGGCTGCTGCTCCTGCAGCATGGTTTAGACCAGGGACAGGCAATTATTTTGGGGCAGAGGACTGCTTACTGAGTTTTGGCAAGCCATCGAGGGCTGCATGACAGGCAGCCCAGGGCAGATAAATATTCATTTTCTAAATTTTTTTAGGGGCCCCATGGGCCAGACAGAATAGCCTCTGGCCCCCAGGCCTCATTTTGCCCACCCCTGGTTTTGACTCTGTAAGGGGACCCAGGCATCCAGGGCTGCAAGGAACTGGAGTTGTTGAGCTACACTCTAAGAAGGGGAGGGAAAGGGGGTGCAACCATGCTACCACACCCCTTAAACCCAAGCCTGGGATAAGGGTTATGTTCTCTGGACTAAAGTGGAAGAAACCTCAAGCCAGAGGCATTTTGCAAACGTTTCACTTGAGATCCATTTAATGGGCATTGAAAGTTTTCTGCACACTAGTGGCAGTTGCTGTAGGAAGCATAGGATAAGCCAGAGCTGCTTGAGAGTAAACTGTTTGCTGAGCCAAACATTAACAGAATCTTAAGCAAGCATCTTCAGCGTTTATCTGTGGCGTGAATACAGTGGGCCAAACAGAATTGCTAGTTCGTTATACTTTGCCAAAACAGGTGAAATAAAGTTATGAACAGGGAGGTTTCTGCTGTAGAAATAGTTCTCCGTGACAAAAAAAAAAGATTTATT